TGTAAATCCAGTATAAAAAAGGAAAAAATTGTATATGTCCTCTGGACGGGTTCTTCTTTAATGAAACATTTCGTCTCTCTTCCAAGAGACTTCTTCAGTCTGAGAGTTTCAGGCAAAATTCAGGCTTTTGAGTCCTGCCTCCAGGTGACTGATACTCACATCACATGGCTATCGTTCACACCTAATTAATACCTATTGTTAACAGGGGGTGGAGTGCCATTGGCAGTATCTCTTCACCCCCTGTTAACAATAGGTATTAATTAGGTGTGAACGATAGCCATGTGATGTGAGTATCAGTCACCTGGAGGCAGGACTCAAAAGCCTGAATTTTGCCTGAAACTCTCAGACTGAAGAAGTCTCTTGGAAGAGAGATGAAACATTTCATTAAAGAAGAACCAGAGGACCTATACAATCTTTTTCCTTTCTAAGACCTTGTGATTTTGATTTTTGAACTTGCCTGCATTCTGGATTTTTCCTAGACTAAACCTGACACTGCCTCCTTCATAAACAGACTTTGCATTTCTTAAAATAAAAATGCATATCACCCAATGTTTTTTGTGCCAGAGTCTTAAATTCAATAAATGATGGCGCCATTTTAGTCAAACCTTGAAAATAATGTTAATGTTAATCTCTCACATTGCGAGGTTTCACGGAGTCTGTTAGTGCTTGTACAATGCGTAGCTACAAACCACATCAAATTTTATCTCAATAGCTGTAAAACAGACGGCTGTTTTTGTGTTGGAATAATGTCGACCAGCTGCGGTGGCCATCTTGAATTGGTTTAACTTCAAAATCTAATCAGTTGTAGCTGCTTGACCAGTAATTGCTGTCATTTTCCTAGTTTGTCTTTTCACAAATAACTTTGTGAAATATTTGACACCTGTTGACTCAGGAGCAGTTCCCTCCCAAAACATCTGTTAGAATGGACTTGCTGACGTCAATGCAATTGAAAGTAAATTCAGTTTTATTCAGCATTTACACATGAGTGGTCTGCCAAAGTCGTGGCCAAGAGGTGGAGCCTTGCCCTGTCTTCATATTAATGTGGTTTATTCATCATACATCAATAACATTTGATGGTTGTAAAACTGTCAAGGGTAAAGAAGAGCCATCTAGCAACTCAAAAACATTACATAAGAAATCACTTCAGTTAACAACAGTTTCTTTTTAAAGGTAGACGTGCTACAAATGCTTAATATTTTATTAATACAATTATCTTTATGGTAAAAAAAATCTGATTCTATATGAAGTTAGATGTGTTGATATGGTCACATACAATCTGTGAGCTTATAAAGATATTTGTAGCCAACTAGTAAGCTCCTGCTTTAAAATAAAGTTATTTAACACTTGCATATGTACAGAGCTCGTCTGGTGACGTTGGATGAAAGAAAAATAATGCGAGATAGTTAATGCAGGTATTTCCATGCAGACTGTTGAATGTTAACATTTTTATTTTAATATGGGTATGAACAACAAACTTCAGTCACTTGCAGTTTAATCATGGAGAAATTCCATACATGTCATCCCTTTTGGACAATTACCATAATGAGCCTCAAAAATACGTAATTTCCGCAATAAATCTGTAATAATCACATGTGTTGGGGGGTGGGGGGTGCAGTCTTGTGGCCATGCACCTTTTTTTTTTACCAACGTCACTGGACGTACATACGATTGCAATAACATATAAGGCTGATGGGAAGAAAAAATCTTTCTGCACATCATGTGACCAACAGGCTACTACATGCAGAGCTAGAGAAACAATGGAGTGGCTAGTAGCCACGATGCAATTTTTGCTAGCAAAATGAGAATTCCTGCCACCATACTGAGGAGACCTCTGTGTAGTAAAGTGAGTGCTCTTAAAAGCTGTCAGATTAGCAGAAGACCATTTCAAATACAACACAGAGCAGAACAGGAAGAAAAAGATAAACAAACAACACTGCCATCATATGTGTTGCTGAAGTATCTGAGAAACTCAGGAGTTTCTCTTTCTCTCTGGTGCATTACTAGCCTGATAAAAACCAGACCCTCGTCCTTCACTTTGCTTTGTACGAGGGTCTGGACTCGTGGCTTTAGAGAAGCGATTCTTGCTGGAGGCATGGCCTCTGCTGAAGTTTAAAATTATTGGATCAGTTGGCCGCAACGAATGTGTGCCAGCTCCACTGTGAAGGAGGCTAAGCTAAGAAGCTAACTGGAAATTGCGTGTGCTGTAAACAACCCTACTGAGAGGAGGGAAAGTACTGAGCCGAACAAGACGGCTGTAAATGAGAGCTGCTGCTTTGTCAGACAAATTTTATTTAATTTGGAAGCCTTATCAACACAGACTGGCTTCATCCACTTCCTCCACTGCCATTGCTAAACTAACTAGCAGACACTGCATATAAAATCAACGTCGTTCAAAACTCCACTTTCTGTTTGCTGATTGGCCCGGGTAAAATAAACTACAAGCAGACACTGTGCAGAAAATCAACGTTCTGTTCTTTGATTGGCCCGGACGAAAATTCTCCTGAAGAAATCCTTGTCTATAGGAGAAATCCTAGATGGAGCAGTGAAGCGAAACTAGAGGTGGGCGATACTGGGAGTTTTGGTATCGATCTGATACCAATTAAATACAGGGCCAGTATTGCCGATATCGATACTGATACCAATACTTTTTAAGCTTCATAATTTGAAAAGATCCAAAAGATCTAGGATAGAATTTTGCCAAACATTGTACGTGACAACAAAATACTTTATTATAACAATCAATATTTTTGCTTGCCAACAATAAAGCAGTTACAAACCAGTTTCCTTTAACATTAGGAAAATAAATCTTTTATAC